TATACGCATTTAAATGCAGTCTGCAGCCACGCCCTCTCTATCTGCGGGAAATAATGTCCACGCAGTAAAAAAGTGCCACTTGTATTGAGTACATACTGTATTATGGTGGATGACAATATTACCTGAAAAGGTGGTAGAATGTATAGAAACGTTTCTTCTCGTTCTTGTGAATGGATGAAATATCTGAAGTAGTGAAATGCGCTTTAGTGTTATTCCAGCGCTCATGTGCAATGTCGTTCAGAACCTGAAACAGGGTCAATTTTCAGAGATACAGTACCACTGCTACAGAGGCTGAACTCACGTCGCAAGCTTTGTCGAGTTTGTTGGTGGCAATCAACCATCGTGGTGATTCCAAAAACAGCATGAAAGCCTATCGTAAGTGGTGATGAGACCAAATTGAGGAACACGAAAAAGTTTTGCCATCCCTGAACGTATTCATCAAATTCGCATTTTAGGATGCTATCAAGATTGATTGGAATACGACAAAGGCACACGGAAGACCCGTAACCTCTGTGCCTTCCCTGACGCGCTGTTCTTCTTGACCCCGTAACGAGGAATGGTACACCGAAGAACCTTCTGCTGCTTTGCCCATTACTCTATTGCGGACTATTTTGTCAGATAAAGTCAGGAATTGAGGGCTGTTATGTGTTTCATCGAGATAAGAGGCAATTATCAGTTAGTCTAGTTGGAACGCTTCATGCACACGAGCTTCTTCAGGTATCGCAGCACCATTTGGATGCGCTCCCACACTATACACCTGGCTAAGGGAGCTGGCTGACTGCAAAATTCATTCTCAGTATTTCAGAAAAAGTAAAATTATTGTGGGCCCCTTAAAAATCAAGTGGGTAAAGAGCTGGGTTTGAGCGGATATCGTTTGAACGGATTGTTCTGATAGATGAGTGACATTTCTAGCCGCGCACCGACTCTATCTCGACTTTAGTAATCCATACTCCAAGTAAAATGAGAGTTCTACACGGAATGTGTGAGCTGCTCCGTGCAAGAGCGCTCGAGCGAAAACAGTCCACAGGACTGCTATAGCTCACAAGTGAGGGGGGGGGCGAGTGCGGCCATATGGACGGACAAAAATGGTCATGGCACCCGCTTAGCCGTTCGATGACCAGCGGGGCAATAAACGAAAGAGGTGTATTAATTGAACCGACCTTTGTGAGGAAAGCAATAAGCGCTATTGTCATGTAAGCAAATGGCCACTGAAATGCAGACGCCATAATTACTCGATATCTGAAAAAGTGGTAATTTTACTCAGTTCGACATTGACTTCCATTAGATTTGCAGTTGGTGTCGTGTAGTACTTTTCTTTACTATTTATCCCTTTTTATCAGTTGATATTTACCTTGGACTTAGTGTGGTTGGGAGGGGGCGCGCGACGGTGAGGCTAAGGCTGCTGGTCTACTCCCAGCGTACATATCGTTGGGTGATTCCTATCAGAGAAACCGTGATTGGTGGATAGGGAGTCGTATTGGTGGATAGGGAGTCGTAAGCCGTGGTTGGTGGATAGGGAGTCGTATTTTTATTTGGCATCAAAATGATTTTTTGATTGTAGTTTTTTCCTGTTTCGGACGCGCTATATATTCTACCCTCGGTGGCACGCGAAACAGGGCACATCGTTGTGGGGAAAATCCCCAACAGGGGGTTTGGCCGCCAGGAGAAGGGGGGGGGTCGTATTTGGGCTGAGGAAAATTTATTTTGGTAGTTGATCTTCTCAGCGGTCACGTGACGTTTGTATAAAGGGGAGAGGCGTACTTGCTCAATTGTTGGATGGGGGGGTCTTATTTGACTTCTGGCCTTTCTAAGTAGTGGTGCGAAGTGGTTGTTGACTTTCCGTGAACTTTCCGTTTCATGCGAAAACCCTCCCTCTTCCGCAGCCGCCGCGCTCAGCGGCATCGATTTCGTGAGGAGGGAAGGAGATGGCCGGAGAGGGGCGGGGTCGTACGCACTCTGACTAAACTCCCACCAATGTATTGTGCCTGGCCGGGTACGCCAAGTCGCCAATGGTCGTAATGAACGCCACCGATGTCGGCTACATCCTGATGATGCGCCGCGTCTAAACCCCTTTCATTCACCGCCATTAAAGGTTCAGAGTCGAGATCGCCTCACGCTCGGGCCATCCCCCCCCCCTTGCGTCAGCAGTCGCGTTAGGCATAGCAGCGCTATCGAATCAACAGTTGATCACAATTGATCATTCTCTGTTCAATGCACATGGTATGCGCGTTTGCAGGTGCCTACTAGCGAGTTTCGCATTCTATTGCGCCCGAGCCTTCCAAGTGGACAAAATGGAGGAGCGGGCCAATGAGAGAGGCATAACCTAGGGGTCTGACTCCTCCTTACGATTGGCGTCAACTCTGTTTCCAAGGAGCTAGATAGATCGGGTTCAAAATAATCGAAGTGAAAGTTGTAAGTGTGACTGAGAACTTCAAATGTAACTTTCAACAAATATGGTAGGGCTTCTATGCGCGCATAAAATAAAGAAATTGGAAATAAGCAATAAATTATTAAAGAAATAGAAAAATTAATTACATTAATAAATAAGGAAGGATTGAGCTGAACTAAAAAGCACTTACTTGTTATTTGTGTACTCCATCATCATGGTAAGAGATGTCACCTAGAAAAATCATGATACATTTCTTACAGTATTTTGTGCTAGTCAGGTGCTTATATTAATGAACTTCTCATCTTTTTTGCATATTTTTTTCTTCATTTTTTCTTCAGCCTTGCTTATCCTTTACTACCTCACTGATCAAAGGTTTAGGATGGTCTCATAGAAGTTCTGGTTGGGAGAGTGTTCGGCCAGAGTCTTGGTATCTGCGCCACAGGCTCAGACTCCAGAGGCAGAGGCTTGAGTGGCAGGAATTTCCGCGATAAGCGGCTAGAGGACTTCGTTGCAGGGAGGGGGGGGGTCAAAACAACCCGGTGCGAGAAAATATGTATTCAGATCCGCCTTCTGTGTCAGGTTTCAATGATATTCGACCCCGCATATTTAAGAGTAGGATGAATCTTGTCTTTTACTGGTCATCCAGCTTCCAGTTCTTTTCAAAAGGGTGATTTCAATTGGATGACTGTCTGCCATAACTCTATTCAGTGGTCTGCCAACGAGTAGATGACTGGCCGAGAATGATTTCAGCCCTGATTTTTCTGGTCCCCTCATAGATTTTTTTCTTTGCAAATTTTGAACAACAACTAAGTACCTCGATAACTCCATAGAGGAAACAGTTCACTCCTTGAATGCTCGCGTATGCAATCCAATTCTGGGATGCCGTAGACATCATCGACGTGATAATGATTAAAAGTTGTCCAGTGAAAAAGATAGTCTGTCGGCCCAAGTGGTCTCCCATGTGACCGCCCATGATCGAACCGATTAGCTGGAAATA